GATGAGGACCGAGTTGTTGTAACTTGCCTCTTCGTTTTATCATCTGAAATCCGTGTTTTCGTCCCGTCCCCATCAAAACAGTGTTTAGGACTTTTACGCATCACAGAAGCAAAAGAATCGTCAATATTTGATGTTCATCTCTTCTGATGGAATAAAGCAACACGGTGAGTTATTGCGGACAATAATAGGATACGCACGTTCAGTGATAGCAGCACTTCTGTGTGACTTGTAAGCAATCAGATGCTGTACGCAGGAGTTGCAAGGGGCCAAATTCAAATAAACTACTTAATGAGAGATGATGGATGTGGTTGAAGCAGCCCTTGCATAAAAGGAATCTTTCCCGCATTTGATGTAGAGTGATTCACCCACCTCGGAGCACTTCCCTAGTGCGGAGGCCTTGTTTGATATCTGTTTTGCATTGAATCGTGCACCTGTGCGGTACCTGTGGCAAATATTGCTTCCACGTCGAATACCATGGAATACGCATTTCTATTTCGTACTTTAGATTTGATCAAACTTCTTGAAATCGAATATCAAATCGTGTCTCAAGAGGTGAAGGGCAGTAAAGTTGATTCTGTTCTTCATAGAAACCAGAATCAGACACTCGACAATGTTGTCGCGAAGGTGAGCGCTTTTTGCGCGCATGGGCGTCATTTTTGTGAATGAAGCTTGTTTAGATCAACATGAAGCTTGGTGGCATGAACTATAACTTGATGCTTGGATCAAAACCTAGTGATACGTAAGTCCCTTGTTTCCTTATTCCTTTTAGACTGTGTATGGTGATAACTTCCAGCGTGAACAAGTGGGTGAACGACAAAGATCGTCTTTTCGTCGGCTTCGAAATCTCCAATCCCCCTCCACTTTCGAAGTTGGACATTGAACGCGGCGCGACTTACAAGGTTGGTTTCCACCAGAAGGGTTCAGATAATTCCCATTCTATTGATCGTTCAGATGCCTTCTGTTCTTGGCTGGGGAGCAAATTGCGCAGCGAATCCTCAGCAATATATTGGCGACTATGTGTTCATTAAGCCACGCCAGTCAGATGTAAGTATTTCTAAAGTTCCCCCTTCGTAAGTATTTCTAAAGTTTCCCCTTCCTTTTCTTCTCCGTAATCCGTAATCCCTAATGTATTATCTTGTAGATGATGGGAGCAAAGCTAAGTGAACTGATTGTTGAAATCCTGAAGAAATTCCGTGCTGCGACTACCGTTGTTCCTCGTCACATTGTGCTCTATTTCTCTGGAATATCTGAAGGACAATTCAGTCTTGTAAGTTTCCTCCATCTGCAGTGAAAGTTGAACGCAGTGTAACTGAGGCTCCTTCTCTATTGGGAGACAACGTGACGCATAACAAATTAACACTGGACACCTGTAGTTGCCGTGCTGTTGTGGGAGTGTTCTTACTTTGCGGCAGCTTTTGAGCGTATGTCAGCGTTGTGAGCGTCCACCAGCGTTTTCAGCGTCCGCTAACGTTTTCCGGTCTTCAGCGACTAAAAAGTATGGATAAAGTTTATCGCTGAAAACGCTTAACACGCTGGTGACGGCTTGCGCTTGACACGCGCTTGACACGCTTGACATGCGACGCTCAGAATGCAGGCGATAGCTCAAACGGTACTCGATACATGCACCTTGCTAGTCGCTGAAAAGGCTGACGCAGAGTGTGGACATCAATGAACGGCTATCTAGTCGTTATTGGTAAATTTATGCAAGAGCGTTTGGTCACTCTGTGAACCTTAATATTTCAGGTGACCGACACGTACATGAAAGCGATTAACACGGGAATCACATCACTATCGGCTACTTACAAGCCTAGTGTGACGGCTTTGGCTGTTTCGAAGGATCACAACGAACGTCTTTACAAAGCCGTAAGTTTGACTCCCCCGTTTCCTCTGGTAGGGAGCCCTTATAGAAAGTTCTATAATGTGTTCTAGAACATATCGGGAAATCGTGCCGTGGAACAGAATATTCCTCCCGGTACAGTTGTCGACACTAAAATTGTTTCGCCTGTCATCAACGAATTCTACCTGAACGCGCACTCGGCTTTCCAGGTTAAAAATTTGTACCCGCAGCTATATTTATACGAAGTGATGCAGCAGTTATAGGGTACCGCAAAAACACCGAAATACTCGTTGTTGGCTGACGATTCCAAGATTCCTCTTGATGTCATCGAAGGAATGACACATGCTCTTTGCTACTTGCACGAGATCGTGACATCTACTGTGTCGGTCCCTGCGCCACTTATTGTGGCCGATCGTTGTGCCAAGCGTGGGCACAACGTCTACATTGCAAACTCGTACGTTTCGCCTTGTTTTTGGTGGTGTATGTTCTTTCAGTTAAGCATCATATTTGCAGAAACCAGGGGAATGCTGCTGTGAACAGCATTGAAGAAGCAAACGAAAAACTCGTCAACCATGGCGATCTTCAGAAAGTTCGCTACAATGCGTAGATAATTTGCATGTTATTGGCTAATTCACT